TTTTGTTTTGGCAGATTAGAGGTTTGTATGTTGATTGTGAAAAGTTCAGTAGCCTCAGTGGGATTCGAACTCATGCATCATCGGAGTCATCATCATCAACAGCAGAAGCAGCAGTAGCATGCGAGTCATCATGATCATCATCATCATCACCGGCATCGTTATCAGGACGCAAAGGGAGAGCGGAAAGAGCAGGCCAAACGTATTGCATTCCTTCGACCATAGTAACCGGTCCGCGATCACATTCGTACAGGTGAATAAATCGCCATGTAGTGGTAATTGAATCGCAGCTTTCAAGTTTGTGGTTCATCAGTGAATATCTATTCAAAGTTGTTTTTAAACCCTGTGATGTAGGGGCATCTACATCAGCAACGTTCACACCGCTTGCTCGGGTTTGTCCAGTATTCACTAATCTGTGGATCGGCAACGTGTCGTACTGCTCGACAGGTGCGCTGACTTATCGGCTGTGGCCAGATTGATTGATTGATTGATTGATTGATCGATTAACTGACTGTTTGAATGCTGCCTTGACGGCAAACGCATGTAGTGCAACGCGTGAGCTGGAGTGTGCCTGCCTGCCTTCCTAAACGCTGATCTTTCTTCCTTGTTCCCCGGTTTGTGTACCGGTTACATATTTGCTGTTTACAATAAACTTACTGCTTCATTTGTTGTGTGCTCATTTGCCTACTAATTTGGGACACAACAGATGTGTACATCCACAAAATTCGAATGTTTAGGTGAGGTACGTCCAAATTCGATCAAATATCAAGATTCAAGTGGTTAGATACGAGCCACGTAAGTGCGTGATACAGGGTGACTGGGATTGATGGAACAAATAGAACAGTCAAATCGGTGCTTTGTACCATCGCTAAGTTTTTCTCTTACGCTGCGCGCAAACGCCACAATCTCCATCCAAAACATCATCATCACCAACAACAGCCGTTTATGACCAGTCTAGTCTCTAAATGAATGCTACCGTGCGTCAGAAAACTGAAACATGGGACACAGAGTATCAATGCCCAAGATCGAACAAACTGATGGTGAATTTATGTCATACCCGGAATGAGAAAGACTGGAATCGCCTTGTAGCAACTCATAACGAATAATGTAGAGTTTGTGTTCATTGAAGTAAAGAACCGTATTTGCGTATTTTGAAGAAGACGATTCATCAAAGGGAAAAACTATTATGAGTCTGTTATCAAGATGCAGAAATAATATTCATGACTTATTTGTTTTATCTTGAAGAGCTCAAAGTTCTCAATCTAACTATGCATGACGTTGTATGTTGAACTGTATTTCGTTTATAGTGCTGGAGAGTGATGGAATTTAAACACCACACATTTATTAGCTCCCTTGTGATTTTTTATTCTGAGCAGTCAGCGTTAATGATTTGATTGTTCCTGGCCCCTGAGTACAGCTTGCTTTTATTCAACATTATACAGTAAAACCCTCAGGATTATCACGAATGTATTGCATATTACCATGATTACTAAAATGATTTCTTTATATATCTGCTGGATAGTGAACCCCAGGTGTGCAGTATGATTATACCAACGATGATTCGTTACTATTAGAATTATGCTTTGATCCGGGCCAACCGTTTGATCACGTGACACAATCCACCGTTTATATTTGTTTACCACTCCTGTTGTCTATCTGTTCTGTGTGACTGATAGTGACTATTTTCTGGTTACGACCAGCTGTTTATGCTTAATTATTGAATACTTCTGTAGTTTACTCGATTCACGTCCATCGCAGAAATATACTTCAAATCTACTGCAGTCCGGCTATTGCCGAAAATTCTCGATGATCAATTGATTGGCTAATATATCGCCTTTCTGTTGTTCTTGAAAAACCAACTTTCGCCAGAGCCTGAATTTATCGACCCGTAGGTTAGATTAGAATGAATTTAAGCACACGTGGCAAATGTGCAATCGATTTCGGGAAAATGGTCAAACTATCGCTTACACAGAACACGCTGGTTCCGATTTCCACTGACTTGGAGATATCGATCAAACACCGCATTCGGAAATCCAAAGAATACACACTATTTTCGTGTCCAGTGCAATATCAGATTGTTTTTCCCAAATCTCAGTTTTCAAATATGGTACGCACTAAAAGGATCGTAGCGTAAACAGGGGATAGAGAAGAGAACAGGAAGACACAGCACTGTTTTTATAGGCAGTGGAGCATCGATCGATCAATATCAGCTGTTTTTGGAAAAGACCAAGATCACACTATCACTACTAGGTATAAAATATCGTATTTTTTTGGTTCTCATTTTGTTTTCTTTTATCAAATAGACAATGATACAATTTTCAGGAAACAACACATTCTCGGCTATGTGCTTTAAGATAAGGATTGTAAATGGTGAGTGTTGGTAAATAACCGAAAACTGAAATTTATTACTTCATTTATTGATCGGATTTTGTAACTCGGTGTGCTAAACGGAATACGGGGTAACATATTTCATTTCAATGGTTCAGTGGTTCCCAATCCCCGGAATACTTCTATCCGACATTTATCAGCGTGGAAAGCTGTCTTCCATAATTCTTTCCTACATGTCCACGGTGATATAATCGTTGATTTCCATAAGGTCATTCTATTTACATTTGTTTTTATTCGCTACCCAGAGTTTACGGAGATGGTCCGCATTATTTTGCCGTGGCTGTAGTGAAAAAAGTCAATCCGAATTTGCTCATCTCAAACTGGCGTCATCGTTTCACGTGTCACAGTGGAGTGGGTAAAGCGACCGGTTGGATTGTCCCGATCAACACGATACTGGACACCAGACAGGTGATCGTTTTGGATGGACATTTAATTTTTGCCTTTGGTAAGTAAAAATGAGGTGGTACAGAAACGTGTTTAGGATCAAAAGCTTTACGATGCTGTTCTATAGATACGAATCTCGGGATCATTCTGTAATGATTGTAATAATAGTTAGAGGTAGTACGCACGGAATTCGGAACACCAACCACGCAATAAGAATAACAGGACACGAACCAATAATCAGCTATCACGGACTGGATGTCAGAAGCACTGGACCACAATGGCACGGGTTTGCAATGTTCCACGAGAACGGGACGCGAGGAAAAGGTCACAGGAGTGGTAGTAAGCGCGCTCTCTATGGGATTTGTCATTTGTGTACGATGTAATAACTGGGGATAAATGTAAGTTAAATGTATGACAAATATTGCCATAAAGGTAATATAGTTTGTATTTTTTAATAATCAAGAAGCGGTTTTTTATATCTTTCTTAGCATTCAATCAATCAATCGACAGATTGATTCGCTATACTTGAGATTTTCCAGTCGTGACATATCGTTCCATTTGAAGGGAAACCAGGATTCTTTTTGATTAATACTTCGTAAGCTTCATCCAGGAGTGTCGTCCCGGGTTCCAATGTTCCACAATGCAATCTGGTAGCGCCACACTTGAGTTTCGCTTTCAACAGAGCTCATTATTTGTAACAGCTATTTGAATTCCTAATCCCTCAAATGTAACACAAGGGTGTGCGAGCACGTTCCCATCAGGGCTGACCAGAATCACTGTGGCAGAGTGTTTTTAGATATCGTCTACCGAATCAGTCAGTTGGTTGTCGGTTTGATAACCTTCAGCAAAACGCTACAAGGTGCCACTTGTTAATTCCAATAGAAAACCACTCACGAAATCAGTTCTTCTTCGCGGCCATCCCACACATAGAAAAAAAGTTGCTTTGGTTTTCTGCATTCAAAATGCTTATATCACAAGAAGCGCAACATACAGTGTAAAAACAAGGGTGTACTGTGTCTTTCTAAGAATGATCGAAATCTCGAGCAATACCAGGACAGTCAACGCGAAAATATGTAACTATTCTGGGTAAAAGGTAAAGCTGCCCGTCGCATACATATCACTTGGAAATAGCACAATTATTGGTTTATTTTTGAGTCACAGTCCAAACTCTGATCTTGTTACTTTATTGCCCATTGTAGGAGAACTGATCAGCCGCTCGTGTATCCCGGGGATACTGAGCGATCCCTATGATCAAACAAACACAAACTCGTTGAATTTGTGCGAATTGTGCACCGGTGGGAACAAAGATCGATGCAGACGGGATCATTTGGAATTGTACTACGGAGACGCGGGTGCGTTCCGATGTCTGACCGAGGGTGCCGATATCGCATTCACTCGGCACACCACAGTACACACGAACACGGCCGGTCGGTGAGTTTCCATCCGTCGTCTCCTCTGTATCTTTCTGTCTCAGACTGATTTCTTTCCGACCGGTTAGTGCAGAATAAAAAATTTCGCATTAATTTTGTGCCACTCATCTGAAATCAGTGCGATTTCGAGGATAACCTATGCATCGTTTTAGAACTCATATTGGACTAAGCGAACAAAATTCAAACGGTTCAAGTCTTACGATGTTTATCAGTTACTATACGCGCCCGCGGACGTTTCCGTCACCCACCACTCAGAGCAGGTCACATACACACACACATACACAGGTAAGCCTTCACGTGTATCGGGAAACTTAAAACGGTTAGTAGAAACTATTCACGGTGTGTCGATTGGGCAATGAAATGAAACAAGGAGATACGCATCCTATGTCAATAATATGTAAAACAATATCAGTTTTCAGGTGACTGGAAGACTCTAAAGGAAACTGTTGCATATCGGGCGCCATCAAATATCACATCACTGAGAACTGTTTGAAATAGTTCTTTCACATTCTCCATATACACATTTCACAAACGATGTGAATTACACATTGCATAAGTGACTGTATGTGTGTGTGTGTGTGTGTGTGTGTGTGTGTGTGTGTGTGTGTGTGT